ACACAGGTGTCAGGGAGAAGGGAAATGAGTGCTGGGAGCTGTCTGAGCTCACTCCTCTGCTTTTTCAATCTGATTTTAAGTCACCTAATCCATCAAAATAAACACAATTTTGCCTCACCAGGCACAGTGGCTTCTCTCATGGTCAACTGATTCAGTGATAGAACAAGTAAGAAAGAATGAATGGACTATTTCTTGTGCTTCTCAACTCAAGCCGATCAAGAGGATGTGTTTGGTGTTCTCATCTCCTAAGCTCACTGTGGGTTTCATCTCCCCTCTGCTGCACTAGCATCCAAGTGCATGCGATGCTTCAGCAGCATTACTCAAAGCTTCATTCTGAAGTCTGTTGAAGTTAAGAGAAACTTTTACCAGTGGAAATGTCACTGAATAAAAACAGTTCTGAAATTCCTCTAGGTTCCGCATATTCTCTACTTCCCGTCTAAAATATGGAAAAGGAACCCTATTTCCCCTTGATTATCAGACTCTATGACCCCAGCCTACACCATAAGACCCTGTGTTCAAAGTTTGTGCTGTATCATAATGAGAAATAAATGGCCACATGGTTGTCATTTTTTTTCCAATTTAATGCAGTAATTATCATGCCAAATCTTTGAATTAAGAACTATCAACCAGAAACCCCCAGACAAGAGTGAATAAGAACAATGTTTCAATCTTGTCTCTACCCCTAATAAATAGTCATCTTTCAGATTCTCCTGTTCTGTTGATGGGGGTAACAACGTCTTACACATCGGTGTTTCAGGGCTCAGCACATCTGGTAAGACAGCGATTTGACATTACAAGGGTATGTATTTTGGCTTTCCCTGACTAGTAATGAGTTTTCTCCTTTCTGTAAGGACAGCTGCCCCTGGACACATGACAAAATCGTGAACATACGTTGCTTCACTTTTTTTATTTTTATTTTTATTTTTATTTTTTTTGCTATATTTAAGTTGCTTATTCCAATGCTAAATGGTGTAAGGATTTCTTGACTTTGATGAAAACACTCAGAAATCTTCCAAGAGATGGTTCTGGCAGAAACATGACTGACAAGAAAGGCAAATGCATATACAGGAAAACAACCACTGTCCTTCGGATGTTGGGTTATTTCCACTGTACTCACTTGACATGCGTTTTTAGTCTGACCACTGATGTGTGGTATAATGTTAGTGGTTCAGGAGGGGTTATGCTACTTGGTAAGTTGAATGCTCAGAAAAGTCATAGGCATACAAGCCTTATTAACTGAAATTCATATTTTTGTGCTCATGTATGGATTTCTATGGTTCATGTGACTTCCTAAAAAAGCTGTGAAACATGACTGACTGATGTCCTAGTATTTGATCCTCTTAATTACTAAAAGCTCGTCCACAGTAATGGAATAGAGATGAATACTCATTTGAGAAGCATTTATTTTTTATCTTGACCTATTTTCCAAGGTGCAATCATAGCTCTTTCAAACAAACTTTGTCTCCAGTCCTTCAGTTTTGTTTCTTCTGAGGCCTGATGATCTCTGCAAACCAATAGCAAATGTTACGGAATTGCTGATCTCTCATTGCAAAGTGTACAGTGACTTCGCCCTTGGGGTTTGCCCACTATTGTGACTTCCAGTCTCTCAGGGCATCCTTGATGACAGCAGTGGTGTGACATCACTACAGCACCCAGTTATGAGATCTCCATCCAGTATGGCATCGTTGGGGACATATGCATGATTGGACTTCCATAGGATGCAATGATTCATTTGTAACATTAGGCAGTTATCCCCATTCAAACCCTTTACCTCTCCACTGAGTTAGAAAAATATTTCAAGGTGTACATATCCATTAGATGAGTGTTTAAAGTGTTTACAAATTATAAAGGAAATTTCTGTAGCCAGAGCAGATACTATACCACGTCTTGGGCACCAGGGTTTTTATGGGGGGAAACTGAAATCACCTTCACAGATTTAATTTTTACATAATTACTTTGTAACTATGCATGTGTTGCCTATAAATGTATATATAAATATACTTAAATAGCCTTATTTAGACATAAATATCTGTACATATAAGTATATGCAGTCAACAATTTTTCAAAAATATAAATGCACCAATATATATGTTATATACACTCAAATATGTACATTTCCCCAAATGATATCAATTTCATGATTTTTTTTGGTATTAAGTTTTGATGTTTTAAATGTTGTCTTAGTAGCTCTGTGCATGAATTAATAAATATTCATATTTATGCCATCTATTTTAATAAAATGCATCTATCTAAATAGGTAGATGTATAAATACTGTATTGGTCAGTTTTTGCACAAAAATTATTGACAATCAACCACTTAAACTCTTAGTGTCTTATTACACTAAAATATTTATTTTCACATTCCTGAATGTTCATTTTAATAATCAATTGACTGATCAAGGCAAGGCTCAGCTGGTTGGTTCGGCTACAGGGAACTGAGCTTGTCTCCAGCCTATAGATTGCATTTATGAGGCCAAGTCTGAAGGACAGTGACTACTCAGGGCAGAATATTCTCATGGCAGATCGCAGGAGTAGACAACATCCCAAACCAAGCTGACTTGGTACAACTAAGTCCAAGAAACTTTAACATCGGCACACACAATTTTAATTGGTTCTTTCACTAGGTAATCACTAAACTTTCAAAAAATGTTTACTCTATTTAAACATCTAGTTATTTGATAATTCCATGGATATATAATTATGGTTTTTCAACCTTTGAAATCGTCAAAGTGTTTTCAAATGCAATGTTGCATCAATTTGAAAGTAAAGCTGGGTGTGTTTTCAACATGTAATCTTCCTGTGAAATTTTCTTGAACATCCTTATTGAGAAAAACATAAATCTCTTTAGCTAAAATGTCACCTAAAACATAGCTTGTTAAACTTTATAACAGATAAAGATACCAGATAACCACCTGTTATCATGTTAAAATGAAGATTGTCTGTCAGGAAATTTGAGGTGGGCCTGCTACGTGTCATGCAAAACACCCTCTCAGGGATGCTGAGGTGCTGCTGGGTTCTGGGTAATTTTAAGAAGCAAAGGACTTTCATATTAAGGGGAGAAATACTATATCGATGTTTAGGATTTTCTCTTGTTGTCTTCCTGTTTGTCAAAGAAGGCTTATTTGATTGTCAAATGATTGTTATATCTATCTATCTTTCCATCTATCTTTCTATCTATCTATCTATCTATCTATCTATCTATCTATCTATCTATCTATCTATCTATCTATCTATCTATCTATATATCTACCTCTCATCTATCTATGTTTTTCATGCGTGTGGAGACAGAGTCTTCCTATGTTGCCCAGTCTGCCGAGACCAGCTCAGTCGTGGAGACCCTAACCCAGTGTTGCTAGAGGAATTAATGACATACACACAGAAATATAGAGTGCGGAGTGGGAATCAGGGGGCTGACAGCCTTCAGAACTGAGAGCCACAAACAGAGTTTTACCCTCGTATATATTGACAGCAAGCCAGTGATAAACATTGTTTCTACAGACTATAGATTAACTAAAAGCATTCCTTACAGGAAACAAAGGGATGGGCTCTGGCTAGTTATCTGCAGCAGGAACATGTCCTTAAGCATAGATGGCTCATGGTATTGTTTGTGGTTTAGGAACGCCTTAGGCGTTTTCCACCCTGGGTGGGACAGGTGTTCCTTGTCCTCATTCTGGTAAACCAACAACCTTCAGCATGGACCTCATAGCCATCACAAGCCTGTCACAGTGCTGCAGGGATTTTTTTTATGGCCAGTTTGGGGGCCGGTTTATGGCCAGATTTGGGCGCCTGTTCCCAACATGTCCCCTTTTGCATTTTTGCAAGATGATAAAAGCAAAAGTGGCTTTATCATGGTAAACTATTTTTCTCAGGAGTCGGGATCTGCATCGCCAACTATACAAAGACAAACACCACTGACTAAAAGCACAATCATCATTGAAATCACAGAGACTCCAAGTGTTTTTATCCATTTTTATGGGTTAATAGCTGCTAATCTATATGCAGCTCCTTCAAGCACTCCGGTTCCTGGCATTAAAGTCATGTGTTTGGGATTCTTTAAATATTTGTTGTTTTAATTTTGCAATATCCAAAGACATGTTTCTAAAGTGTCCTTCTAGATGCTTTTTTATTCTTTCCCATTCATGTCTGATTCATTATAAGGATGAGGAGTGATACAAAAGTCAGAAGTATTCCAGTTCCATTTTAGCTGCATTCTATATTCCAAACTAGCTACTTGATCTCCTAGCCACATTACAGTTTGTTGGAGATCATTGATTTGATAAACTATCTTTTGGTCTATTTTAGATTGAGAGTTCCAGAGCAGAGTAGAATTCTTTGGTCTGCCATTTATTTACAAAATCTGCTGTTTACACTGATGAATGTCATGCGACTCCAGCTGCCGCAGCAGTAGCTGTAACAGAAATCTGTCCCATAATAACCAAGATTAAAGTAGCAATGAAATGCTGAGAGCATCTCAAAATTTTATGAAGAATTTCTGTAATAATATGTACAGAGGGAGACACTTCCCAATGACGGGAAAACTTCACCAGTACCCATACTCTTTCTTGAGCTCTCACTACTAGGATAGAATGATTAGTATTAAACAAGGAAGAGTTTACACAAGAGAACAATCTACATTCCAAGCAAGTTCCATGATAATTAGGGATGTCCAACTTTAGATTGCCCATTACCAACAGAAAAGGAGGACAAACACAACTTTGTATCCAAATTGTATTGTTTTCAACAAAAAAATGTAATTAGGATTACATTGTGATGGCATAGTATATTTTCCTTCCTAAATCTTGATCTTATAAAGAGCCATTAATAGTTTCCTCCAATCCTTATTTTTAGCTCCTACAGCAGGCCATGTCATTTGAGGTTGAGGTACCACTATACCGCCATGTTTCCAGATAATAGCAACTCTTGCCATACTTCTTATCATTTCTACCATCTGACTGTTTCGTTCAGACCATCTGAACGTGGTGTGGCCATGGCATGCAGACTGAGAGCTGCAATTCAAGCTAAACATCCCCTTAGGGGAATCAATCAACAATGATTCCATAGGAATTCTTGCACCACACCTCTGCCTGTTCTGCAATGCAACCTTCCTAAAGAAGTACGTTCATTTTTTCTGACCAGGTCCAATACTGTTTACAAACAGGTTTTTCAGGGCAGTATGCCTCAATTATAGGAGTAGATTTCTTATGGTAAATACTGAGACCAGAAAGCATGTATAAGTGTGTCATAGAGTGATTACATCCAGGCATTATCATCAGCCAAGATTGATATTGAGGGGGTAGGCAATTAGTGGCCTTTTCCAAACAGATACGTGGATGTTCTAATCCTAAAGAAATATTCATAACAGTTCCATCCTCACGTGGGTGAGATGGGCCTCTTTTATCTGCAGAACCAAGCACCCAAGAGCTGTCATTAGTGTATACCTCCAGTGGGGGGGTCCAGCCAAATTACAGGCCATAGAAGTGGTGGAATAGGGAAATATGTCCAATAAGTATAGTTGTTCTCTGTGTCAGCCCTTGCTGAAGTAATACTCACCGCAATGGTGATTCCTGCTATCACAGCTATCGTTAAATCACTCATTGTGACTGGTTGTCCCGCTTTCCTCAGGTTTTCTTCCACCACCTATGACAGGTTCTTGGTCTCTTCCCAAGTGGGTGGTTGTATTCGACGGGTGTTGCTCGTGACACTGAGACTCCTCAGTGTCAGTCTCAACATAGCTGAAATCGGGGGTCCTCGGGTTCCCCCCAGAATCTCTTCTTTGGCATCTGGCTCATGATAAAGTTTCAGGTGTCTTGGTGGTATCCAAGTTGGCTATTGATTCAGTCCTGGAGAAACACAAGTGTAATCTGTACCCCATGTTATTATTTTACCTATTTCCCAACTTTTTGTTATCAGATCTCTCCACCAAACCAGTTGTTCTGCTTCTGTCTTTGCAGCTGGTTTCTGTAGATGCTGTTCAGCTGCTGATAGCATCTGGCCTTTAGGCAGACTCAAAATATTTAAAGTCAATAATGCTAGATTCAATTGCATATGGGGTGTCCCATAGTCCCTGTTTCCCACCGTTTGCATCTGCAACTGCTGTTTCAGGGAGAGATACATTCTTTCCACTATGGCCTGTACTTGAGAATTATATCGGATATGAGTAATGTGTTTAATATTCCATATAGAGAAAAATGTAGCTAGAACTTGGCTGGTATACCCTGGGGCATTATCTGTTTTAATAGAAGACGGAATGGCCATCACTGCAAAGCACAGCAAAAGGTGACGTTTAACACAGACAGGAGACTCTCCTGATTGGTATGTAGCCCAGACAAAGTGAGAAAATGTGCCCAAACATACATGTACATAAGCTAGTCTCCCAAACAAGGAACACATGTGACGTCCATTTGCCAAAGAGAATTAGGGTATTAGGAAGGGTATTGTCCTCCTCCTGAAGTGATTTTTTTCCCAAGCTCTAATGCACACTCCTCTAAGATGCTCTATGTCATCTTCCTGCATAATCACCTGTGCATCTAAACCAGCCCAGCCACTGATCCCCAAAAGTTGCTCTGCAGTCATATTGATTTGCGGTTGGGCCAGGCATTGTAAGCAGCCTGAGTGGAAGCTTCATCTGCCCACCAAGTTTTAAATTGTAGGAACTGAGCAGGAGACAGACAAGTTCAGGTAAGAGCATCCCAGTCAGGAGGAATCATCCAGCTGGAGACATCAACATTCTGTAACAATCCCATTACAAAAGGAGAACCTGGTCCATATTGATTAACAGCTTGTTAAAATTCTTTGAGTAATTCAAAAGGAAAAGGCTCAAATGTAGCTATAACACTTCCCTGTTGATCTGAGGGGTGTATTCTAACAGGGAACTGTGAAGTCTCTATGTCACCCTCATGTCTACCTTGCTGGATTCCTGCCTGAATAGAAATGAGAGTGATCGCTCAAGGTGCCGCTTGAACCGTCACTGGAGCAACCACTTTTCACCCAGTGTCCTCCGGAAAAGAAGGATCTGGAGGGTCAGGCTACTCTTTTTCTTCAAACTAATGAGGGGGTGCAGAAAGGGAGGGATAAACCTCTCCCTCTTTTGCCACTTTAGATTTAGCTGGCAAACAAACCTGCTCTGTCAGCTCTTCTGTTACTTTGTTATACTCTCCTTCTTCCTTATCATCAGTGTGAAAATGTTCCAAGGTGGAACAAACAAGGCTGACACTTGTCCCATTGTTACCCTGATGCTTCCGAGTTCCCCTTCTTACTCACCACAGGGATTGCTTAAGAGTACTCAGGTGTCCTCCAGCATAGTTCCGCTTTCTCCAACGATCACTCTAGCAACCCTTCAACCCTGTTTTGAGCCCCACATGTGGACACCACTTGCCGAGACCAGCTCAGTAGTGGAGAATCTAACCCAGTGGCATCAGAGAAATTAAAGACACACACACGGAAATATAGAGTGTGGAGTGGGAATCGAGGGACTGACAGCCTTCAGAGCTGAGACCCACAGAGTTTTACCTACATATTTATTGACAGTAAACCAGTGATAAGCATTGTTTCTATAGACTATAGATTAACTAAAGACATTCCTTATGGGAAACAAAGGGATGGGCTCTGGCTAGCTATCTGCAGCAGGAACATGTCCTTAAGGCACAGACAGCTCATGCTATTGTTTGTGGTTTAGGAATGCCTTAAGCAGTTTTCCACCCTGGGTGGGCCAGGTGTTCCTTGCCCTCATTCTGGTAAACTAACCACCTTCTGCGTGGGCATCATAGCCATCAGGAGCATGTCACAGTGCTGCAGAGACTTTTTTTATGGCCAGTTTTAGGGACTGTTTATGGCCAGATTTGGGGGCCTCTTCCCAACACCAGTTCAATCTCAAACTCCTAGGATGAAGCAATTCTCCTGCCTTAGCCTCTCAAAGTTCTCCGGATTACAGGCATGAGCTACCACACACAGTGTTATAATATGTTTCATACAATATCCTGATTTTTCTGCTTCATCTATGACTTAATGACCCTTTCTTGCTATGAACTCAGACTTGCTGCTGAAACTCAAAAGCACAGTCTAGTGCATTCTGGGACAATCTGTAACAGGAGAAATGTTAAGCCTTGTGAAAAGGGTAACCTTGCTGGCCTGTCAGCTGTCAATTTCCCATCACTACTATCACTTCTGGAAGCACATTTTCCAAAGCTCCTTTGCTATCTATGGTTTCTTCAGAGTTGGTCAACGAGTTGCCCTCCCATGACACTGGGAAGTCAGAGTGGTGGATTCATGTACACTGACACCTGAAGTAAAACACATGCAGTTAGGTGTGGACTGGAGAGTCACCTGGAGATGTGCTACAGGCAGCTGAGAGCAGCAGCACCTCTACCCTGGACTTCCCAGACATGTGTGAGGATCATCACACGGTACTCAGCACATACCACCTGGGGCAGGTGCACACGGGCTTCTGGAGGAGCACCTGAGAATCTCCTGTCTCTAGTACATGCTTCATAAATGACATACTGTAGGCTTCAGAAAGACTGTGATTTAGACTTTAATTTAGTCAATTTGAATTTAGTCAATTCTAATTTAGTCAATTGGAATACTGAGAGTAGCTTCTCTTTTTCTATATGAATTCTAATTATCCCATAACATAGACTCCTCAGGTGGACTTATCTCTCTTCTTTATTCTGCCAGGACAGGGGTTGTAAACGTCTTTTCTGCTGGGGATGATGATGAAAGAGGCTTAGGGTTCAGAGGAGCCTCCCTGGCCTCCCTACAAAAACCTCCCAATGACATTCAAAACTTGACTGACTTCGAGAAATGCTCTCAGCTAATGGAGGCACCAGGAGGAGCATCTGGAGCAGCCCAGGCTCACACATCTGCTTCCTTGGGGGTTTATACTATGACCTCTAACACTGTGGGAGGGTAACTGTAATGCTGTTGACAGTAATAAGTGGCAAAATCTTCAGGCTGCAGGCTGCTGATGGTGAGAGTGAAATCTGTCCCAGATCCATTGCCACTGAACCGAGAGGGGATCCCACTTTGCAAACTGGATGCAGCATAGATCAGGAGCTTAGGGGCTTTCCCTGGTTTCTGCTGATACCATGCTGATTCAGCAGCAGGGGAGGTGAGGCCAACTACATCACTATCAATGGACTTAAGCCCAAGGACTCCATAGAGTATTTCTCTTGTGAAGTATTACTTGTCTGCAGAGGAAGTAAGTGCTTGAGGCATCGAAGAAATGCACAAGTAGGAGTGGCCAGATCAAGGTAGTGCAGCCTGTGCACAAACCTCCTGCTGATTTTCCAGGGGACTGGATTTCAGGGAAATGACTACTGAACAGCATGTCCGGACCCAAATATCCAGATTCAGAGAGATACAGCTCTGGATTCAAATGCACTTTTTTTTCTGCATAATTTTGGCAGTCATTGTTACTACACCTTGGCGTTTCCAATCATTCTATTTCAGCTGACTCTTTATGGTCCTTTCTGCCCCTCACTGCTCTCTCTGAACCTGGGGAAGGCAACTCAGCCTGCAAATTTGGTGGACCTCATGGCCTGGAATTAGCATCCCCTAGGACAGCTATCAATCAGTGATGACAAGGGAGGTGTACACATACCCCAGCTCCCTAAATTCTCAGGTGGAATAACAGAGGCATTTTTTTTTCTGTTTCTGTGTGGGCGTGACCTCTAGTCATCCTCAGAGGTGACTCCTTGCTGAAACACCTTTCACTGTCCCTCCTCTCTTCCCTTGCTCACTTGCTCGTTTCCTGTACTTTGTAAATATACTGCTTCCCATGGGAATATTTGTCATCCTTCTTACTAGGGTATCCAACCTAAGGCACTGAAATATTCCTAATCCTTGGAGGGCATCTTTGGTTTCACTTATTCCACTACTCATGTTTTGATGTCTACAGAAACTCAGAAAATTTAAGAAATACTTAAATTCCCTTTGGCAATCTTTCTTAGATTTGATTTTAGCAGAGATTTGTTTTCTTTTTCTTGGTCACAAAATCAAAGAAGACTTC